TTAAAACTACTTTAGATGCCATTAGCCGGTACACACCAACTGCGCACTGAAACTTCCATTCTGCAGAGGATAAGCAGCGGACAAGGTGTTTTCCGCCATGAGGCCAAGACAGTTTCTTTTGCCATTTTATTTTTTGGTGTTTATTGGAGGTGGAATCGGCGATGGTAAGTGTCTGGTTTGTTCTCCATTTAATCAGTAACTGTTTTTCATTTACATTTTTCATTTTTCATCAATATTTCATATGTTTGATGTTTATGATTGATTTTACAAGCACAACATCAGGGTACGGAAACAGACGATCAACCAATTCACTGATCTTGACTACGCGAGCCTATTCATCGTATCATACTATAAGCTGAGTTAGATGTCGATTATATTTTCATCTGGGATTCTGACATTGGACTGAAGGTACACAGTATGTATGAAACAAACTATGTGATTTAGCCATAAATCATGCACATTTAAATATGCCGGAGAGTTAATCCAATGCTCTGATACGGCTGCATAAATATACTAAATGTTTCTAAGGCCAACGTAAGGAGGAAAGTAGGGATTCTTCAGTTATTAGTTGATAAGCAGTCTGCTCATTTGACGCGGGACGCACAAGTGACAAGCGCCCATGCCCGGGAAAAGCAACTTTCCTTTCAAGCCTAATCATTAAGAATACTATTCTCGCACGAGGGATAACGTTGCTTCCCGTCAAAGTGACGGTATTGTTGTTATGTCGCAAATCCCCGTAATATAGCGTGTGTTTGTGGAACACTCCACTGTGATGACAGATGTGCATAGCAACCATTGATTATCAGACAGTCAGATGGAGAGGGAATAATCACGCTGTTGTTGCTCTTTCACAAAGCCCCGTAATTTAGGAAGTGAATGTATGATGAATATAAAGTTCCCAGGGAAACCTAGGGAGAAGGTATGACCACATTTGGTATGGATGAAATTATTTTATTGTCACGTTTGAACGATGAAATGACCCATGTCGATTTGTTTTGTGACACAGGCTAGTTGTCTCAGTCGTCTCGTTTCGTTAACCTCTTATGACACATAACCCCCGCATTCGTAACGATTCGGGTTAGAATAGGTCTTCAGCAACACATGCTTGCGCTAAAAGGCGACTATGCTTGCCGTAAGAGGCGACTAACATAATCAGGTGGTCAGGCTCGCTGACTTGGTTGATATATGTCGTCGTATCCCAATTGCTCATGATGTCAATCACTGGACTCTGGTCCAGACTCGATTATGCAGAGACTGTCATCATATAGCTGGAATATTACTGAGTGCGGCGTGAAACAACAAAAGCTCAATCAATATATACATTTGCATAACGTGAGACTAACCAATATTCCAGAAATTTCTTGTAAGAGATTCCAGTGATTGTTACAATATGCAACGCCACAAGCCGTCGGGGTACGATGACAAGCATTCAACAAAGTAAACTTAATGCATGCTTTTGCCTCGATCAAATAGTATAGGTGTCTGGGAACCTGTTGTGACCTGGAAACCTCACTGACAGATTCATGTATCCTGGATGTGAACTGCTGACTTATCTTGTTATCATTCAGGTTTCACGACAAGCATTGCTTCAGAGAACGGTGAACCCTTTCATCATTTATTGCAAAGACTTCAGTGGAGAAGAGTTGCTATTTTACTACATGGGAGCAATGGTAATGATCTGCCCTTTAGCTTTTCAGTTCGCTTATTCATTTGATGTGAACCTGATACGTTTCTAATATAAAATAACAGTCCCAGATTCATTTGTATTAAAGATATGTATACACATTGTTTTGAAACTGAAAAGATTTGAAATGATACATATATATATATACTTTTTCAAGAAAAGTTTTCCAGCTCGGGTCCATGCAGGCAGCAAAAGTACTGTAAATCCCCATGGTCCCCAGGCCAGTGTGGTGATCTACCTTCAGTTGTTGGAGATCATAGCCTGTTTTTATAATGTATTGTTATGTATAGTAATATCAATTTTATGACTCCATACTAGTTTTAAATATTTCTCTGTGATAAGTCTAGTTATTTTACTGCCCATCGTTGGCAGGTTTTTTATACGTTTTCAAAGTATTTATAATCTTAAACCTTTGATAGTCACGTTATGGCTGAAATATTGCCGATGTGACTTAAAACTTAACTTACTCACTCACTCAAGAAAAGTTTCTCTATTATTTATAATAAGTGCTCGTGTTTCGGCGATCTTCACGCTTTTCTTTTACAGTGAACAGGGTGTTGCTATTTAATAACCTTGAAGTATATTTTGCTTGTTGGTTTGTTTAATGCCGCATGCAGCAATGTTCCAGGTATTTCAGAAAATAGGCGTGGGAGTTGTTAATCGTACAATACCAGGGAGAATAAACCGCTTTTGGATGCGATCGTTCGACCATCGCGTTATCTGCGTTGCCCAGCTACATCTATGTGGAACCATTCAAGAGACACTCTCCTCTCAAAAATAACGTCGAGCAAAATACAACGTACTCTAGATGTGAACGCATGTTGGAATCTCCAGAATGACGTCAAGATAGAACAATGTTTTATCGTGAATACACTACACTTTGTTCTTCATTGTTCGTTGCGATTTATCGCGTAGTTATCTTATATATGAGTATACAATGCCATTATAGATGATGGTGACTATAGATGAGTGCACCCACGACCAACATATGCGTTCCCAACTTGTGTGTGGTGCATCTGGGATGTGGAGCTGTTTTTTCCTAGGCCTCTGACCAATTGTGTGCAGATTGCCCGTGGCACAAGAAAGGCAAAGGATCTAGCCAGTTTGAGTGTTTGAAGGACCTACAACCTTGAACGACATGGGGGATTGGTTGATGAGTCTGGCAGAGAAGAAGGAGAAATCAAAGAAGAAACGCAAGGCACACCTGCAATCTGATAGAGTAAAACCGCCACAAATCACCGTAGGGTCGTAGGACGTCTCATCTTCAAATATTCACTGAATTTCTAGGCCATGTCTCTGAAGCAGTTTGCTTAAACGTTTGCATTGATTGAACTTTCAACACTGAAGTACGCTAAGGTTATGGAAATCTTTGTCCTCCTGTCTCTACTTATGATCTTGATTGCATGTTTCTGGACTTGGTACGTTGCTGAAGCTGCTGTTTTTGATCTGGATGAGGATGGGGACATTTTGCGTCGAGGGCGTGTTGCATTCCACAATGTTTTCATCCTTCAGAACAACGTGGACCCTTTTTATGAACCATTTCGAAAACAGTTTTTGTAACTAAAGCCTATTCCCATCATACCCTCTCAAGGCTACCAACAGCAGTGTCACTACTGTCTTCAGTCATGCATCCACACCCTAACCTGCTCGTACATCATGCGCATAATGGTTGACAAGTTGGCTTTTACAGTGTTGATGGCTGTCGCTACATGGTGGACGGCTACGACTCCACAACACACATTGTGTATGCATTCTTGGGGGTGCTTCTGGCATGGATATCCTTGCTGTTACAAGTCAGATCGACGTGATAGACACGCCACCTTGGGAACAGCACCATGATACCCCTTATCGACTGTATTACAGCAACATCCTGACATCAACCAAGTGGTGATCCAGTGGGAATATGATTTTCTTCAAGAACTGAAAGATCAGGCTGACCCAACAGCGTTCCTGACCTACACTGTAACGTCCACATGCTTACATGCCAGAGGCGTTAGATCAAAGAGATGCCTTCTTTGGAGCACAAACGAATGCCACCAAGTTGTTCCACGAAGGCAAACAAGATGAAATCATTCAATATATAGATGTCTTTTCTCTCTATCTTTACATTTGCAAGTATGGTACCTTCCCCGTAGGACATCCCAAAGATCATCTTCGAGTGTCTCCGCCGTTTGAGCTTCATGGCCTGATCTAATGCCGGGTATTGCCACCCACTCACCTCTACCACTGTGTTCTGCCTTACCGCGACCATGACATTTTTTATTCTCTTTGTGTCGCACTTGTGCTGAAGAACAGTTGGATTATTCCTGCCTCCACACTGAAGAAGACCGAGCCTGGGCCAAGAGTTCAACAGTTGAAGATTGAGGCCATCAGGTGCTTCACATCTATGAGGCTTGGCACTTTGACACCTTATCCAACAACGAACCTGTCACCCAAGAGGGATGCCTGTTTGCCAACTTGGCGAACAACTTCTTCAAGAGGCCAGTGGTTAGCCATAGGATGTTATGATACAGATACCAACATCAGCGACATTCGTCCTCAAAGAGGGTGTGACCTTAGATCCCTCCAAAATCCACAAGAATCCTGGATTGCTTGCTTTAGCTGAAGTGTGCTAAACCACTGGGGAAAGTTTGGTTAATGTCAAGGGTTTGGAAGAACGGAATACATCAGTACACCCCTGAAGTTCTTTGGCATCAGTATTATTATAACATCCAGTGAAATTTTCTATGTGTCACCAACGCATCTCAGAAGGATTTCATGGCAGTCTCAAGCTGTATTCATACATGAAGCCCTTGGATCGACAATTCTGGTTATCTGATATTGTTGTAGAATGAAGAAAATTTCAAAATGCATTTAGTTCATAAACGGTGTACATAAATTGGTTAGAAATACTTCATCTCTGTGTTTGAGCCAGAAGGAGTAAATACAAGTTATTGGTAGCAAAGCCTGGGAAACTCTCACGGGGTTACCCCAGGAAATGGGGTCAAGGTTGAGTGTACATACCTTTCAGAGTCAGTCTTAATCCTGAGTGAGATGAAGCTTCAATGAATGGTAAAACGTTTACATTTTACATTGATCAGAGAATCTGTTGATCTTTGTGTTTCTGTTTTTAGACAATTGCACAAGTATAACCATATTGTTACTGTAAGGGCATCAAACTGTATTCATTGACTAAATTTGGTGAACGAAACGTTGGTGTCTTGTGCCTGCCTTTGTTTTCTTTCACTAGTATATGCAATCTCTTTAAGCACATTTCACTTTTGACATGAAGAACAAATGCTTTGATTATTTGTTTCAGAGAATGACTGTTTAGTACCTGCTCGTATCCAATCTTTGACCAACAGTATCCAGTTTCTTGTGTATGACCTTAGCGTCATGGATGCGAATAATACCTTACAGGAAATCCACGAGGCTCTCTTCCCAGATATACACGTGGTTGCTTCTATGAGTCATAGGCATATGACCGAGTTGATGAAGATGGTTTGTTTCAACATTATTAGCTTAATATGGTATCCTCACCAGCATGTCGTGTGTAAAATGAAGTTATATGATCCTGTAATGGTGTTGAAAAGTTGCTGTGGAAGGATACAATGGCCCCATTGTGTCTCTTGGGCTGCCAACACATTTTACGCAAAATGCTAACACATCATCATATATCCAAAGTATCATAGCTCTGTTCTGTTTAAATAGATTCCCGGACCAATTCGGCACAACCGCAGAATATTTGAACATCTTAATTTATGGTTAATCTTGGGATGGTGTAAATCATGGTGGGGAACCATGCAGGTAACAAAGTCCCCATAATCCCGGCTTCAGTTGTTTGTGATCTGTTGCCTGTGTTTATAATGTGTCATCTGTCATATTCTTATAAGTGTTTTGGATGTCTAATTTTGGTATTGTGTCATTTGAAATGGACTGGAAATAGGGTATATATTATAATGGAATGGAGATATGATACACAATATAACTGACGATGTGACTTGCGCTACTGTGGCCCTTTCTTATACAGTAAGGTGACGGCTCACGCCTCGCTGAAATAATGTTCAAAGCGACCATGAAAAAATCTAATTGACTCACTCCCGAGTTTAGAGGTGCTCATGGAATGCAAAATGTGGGCATTGGTCTGTAATATTTTAATCGTTTATTGGACATTATAGAAATCCTTGTGATTTAGGTCGACTCTTTCGATATAAAGACAAGGGGAATGACTGATTTTCGACATCATTCAAAGTGGCTACTTCTTCACGAAGAAGAGAACACCGTTGATCTGCCGGAGTTCATTTACTTGGAAAATGTTGTAGCAGTGCTTCATCATTATAAGGTATGTATGCTCAATTAATTGAAACATTTGCGTTTGATGGCGGTGCATAACCGTGCAGCACGTTATCATTAATAATTCTACATATCCGTCTATGTAATTATTTGGTTACGATAGACATACATCTGATAAACCTGCTTTTTTATACCAAGATTGTAGCCAGATTTAGCATGACTCTAAACAGTCTCATAAGGGTTCCTGTAATTGATGATAGTTTACTTGAGAATATCTCGTGTTTCACAACATCTTACATCTTCCTACTCTGCAGTTCTCTGGGTTTGATTTGTAAACTGTCTAGAATGTGCATTTTAATGTTATTCCAAGTCATCTTGACTGCAAAGTGTTATCAAATCTTTCACCCAATTTGTGCTTCATATTTTTTTTAGTGTTGGATGCATAGCGTTCTTACCTTAAAACATCACCTTCCCCGAAATGAGTGGGTACCAGTAGCCGCTTGTACCCAAAGAAACATCAACCTGTGCTATTTTCCTAATGCTGCCTATGGATATAACAACAGACGTTTGCTGGTGACTACTCTCGAGGTAACCCAGGAATTGTGAGCTAACCCGTTATGGCCCGTCGTCTGCCAATCTATTGTCATGACATTGATATGTACAAAGTATGTAGCATACAGAATATTATACATGCAAGTGTTTGTCTTCATACTTTTATGTTTGACGTACATATGCTCTATGGCCTTCACGTTTGGCATAACACTGTTTATGTTTATTTACTGCATTCTTGACACCCCCAGCTTAAAAAAAAAGCAGGAGACAAACCCAGCAATATTGTCTCCAAATGATGCCACCCGTGGAGATCCAGGGTAGAATATTAAATAGGTCCTCAGCAACCCATACTTGCCGTTAAAGGCGATTATGCTTGATGTAAGGGGCGACTAACGGGATTGGCAGGTCAGGCTCGCTGACTTGGTTGACGCATGTTCAAATGCATGGATCGATACTCATGATGTCAATCACTAGATTGTCTGGTCCAGATTCGATTATTTACATACCGCCGTCATATGGCTGGAATATCACTGAGTGCGGCGTTAAAAACAAACAAAGATACAAAACTATAAAACTATGTTGAAAGAATTCTGATCCGACTCTAAATATAGGTGTCATTTTAAAAACGTGATTTTCTGCCGTTTATGTTATTCCTGCAAATATAATTATGAAATCGAAAAAAGTATGTTGTCCTAAATAATGCTTGAAACGAAAACGCTTCAGACTGTTGATTAAAGAAAGAAATTGTCTGTCACAAGAAATGTTTAAAAAAAACCAAGAGGCTTGAAAAATTATTATTTAGTGTCATTTTTATTCCAAAGGGAAATAACTCTCCTTTTGATATATATTAAATGGCGTCAAATAATTGAAACGATATGAATGGACTTTTGCTTTGAATAGATTGTTTCTTTCATACAGAGGAGGGAAGTAATTTGCTACAAGAAATCCCGGTTCTATTTGAAACAGTACCGAAAAGTCGATTCGAATGCTTGTGACATGGTCACTTGTTTCAATATTGAAAGAACATTGAAATTTCAATTGAAACGTGGGGACCCGGTGTCAAAGGGCAGAAACTCTCTATTTGAAATGATGTAAGTGATGGTTTAACCTATCGCTTCCGGAAAGGTTCCCGAATCAAGGTGCGCTGCGACGACTAGTGACACGTAGAGACGGAGCCAAGCTAAAACGTTACCCTGTTGCACCTTCATTCAAACACGTTTGTTTATGACTGAATATTTTTAACTATCACATATTTTGTATTGATTAATAGTTTAGAATATCAACATTTGTTTTGTTTTAAACTAAAACACGAATTGACACGCAATGTAAAAACGGTATGTTGCCACGTCATTTTCTACGTGAAAAAACGGCGAGGCATTCTGTCAGTCTGAGGGAACATATCACATCGACGAAATAATGCAAACTCATTTTATATATCAGCCTCTATGTTATTTCTCACGAAAAGTCTCCAACTGTTGCAGCATTCAAATCTAAACAAATAGTTTTCATACCACCATGGACTTAAATGTACCAAACTTGGCGATAAGCCTCCATTGCAGCACACGCCACTGACAGGCCTTTACCGCTGATCTATAATTAGCATACAATCATGCATTTACTACTTACTTTAAAAATGAAATAACAAATTAAAGGAATCAAAACAACTGATTTTAAATGTTACTTTCATATCAACATTTCCTCTAACATCTGAATTCAATTTTTTTATTCTGACAATACTCTTTGTATAATATAATATAATCATATTTTACTGCCCCCTATAAATTGTGTCCATCATTTAGTGCTATAATTAATCGCAGGTGTTAATTTAGTGACCCATTTCTTACAACATTCTGATACTCATGCTCTCAAAACAGTAATAAATTACAGATATTCGTCCATCCCTCAAGCGGTTGAAGATAATGCTGTGTACCAACAAACAGCAAATCATACTACCCCACAAGATGTGTATGTAAATGATTGTTGTATGTTCTTCTTTTTCGTAACATATGTTTATAAGTTTTCCCCTTACAACCCATGCACTATCCTGTTATAGCTATATATCCTTATTTCATTCAACAGTGTTTCCAGACACCTGTAGCATTAAGCAAATATAATTTAAAAATAATTTTATCTAATATTTTTATCAAGACATAAATGCAAATTTAACCCCACGATCACTCCATGTAGAAAGTCTAAATGCATTTATTTATGTTATTTGATTTTGACAAATAACATATTATACTTATGAAACTACTTATGAAATTAAGAATGAGCTTCATTTATTACAATCATCTGATCATTGTAAAAGCAAATTGGATGTAAACACTGCAATGGTAATACAATCATCAATATAGAGATTGAAAATTAATGTATAAGATGAAAGTTGGTATGCCAATATATGCTCTTCTGTGTCTGAAAAAATAGAATTTTTCAAATATTTATAATTCTAAAAATGCCATAAAAACGTCTATCTTTTATGTATCATTATTGAAATGTAATCATGGTAGTAATTGCCAACAAACAGCCACCATTCATCGAGAAAACCTTTTTCTACACCAAGCACCAAATAACCCTTACAAATATTAAAATGGATTTCATTTCTGTTATTTCCTTTTTTTTAACATCGTATTATGATCTGAATTTAATGACATAATTTGTCAGAGCTCGTTTCTTTTACAATTTCTTGGAAAAAATCTCACCTCTCTTATAGATACATATACCTCATAAATACTTGTCAAAATTGTCAATATTTATTGACGTTTCACATTTCGCATACCACATCGCCTAGACGCTACGCTGAAATGTATGCATATAGCCTGATCGGCGATAATAGAACATAGATATGGGTACGTATACAATGAAAATAAATACGTCATTTATAAAAGTGTGATATTCAAACCTCAAGGGCAACACTTTAAGTATCGACTGCAAAACGTCAACAGAGCAACCATTGACGGTGAGCTCGCTTCCAACGGCTATCAGACCGCCTTCGTGGTCTAGTGATAAAGCGTCCGCCCGTAGAGCGGAAGGTCCGTGGTTCGATCCACAGCCGCACCATACCAAAAGACGTTAAAATATGGCACTTCTTGTTACCCTGTCTGGCGCTCAGCATTAAGGGGCTAAAACAAGGACTAGTCGGCTCAGATTAAGTACACTGTGTCTGAGTGGGGTATTCATGTTAAATTGTGGCATTGTATCTCAGTGAGCTAGCACTATAAATCGGTATCAGTCCGGACTAGTAGACACACACACACACACACACACACACACACACACACACACACACACACACACACACACACACACACACACACACACACACGTCGCTATATAAGTGCAATAATCTTGGACTCGACGTTAAACCCAATTTCACCTCACCTCATCTCACCTCAGCAATGGCTGTCCATGGGTTTATTATTACAATATGAACAGTCGTGGTCATTCCTGATGTTTCATGGAATCAAGGAACTAGTATGTCAGGAAATGACAACAGATAGATCATTGTTAAGGCGAAAGGTATACTGTTCGTACACCAGCGTGAACGTTACTGATTGAGGTGAAGCCTATGCTGGTTAACTGAATATAGGTGTGGTGGTAACGCGTTCCACTCGTATCGCGCACACCACATGCGCTGTCAGTTTAAGGTTGACCGGCCGGATCAGCGCACCCAGCGGGTGCTTGAAGGGAAATTACGAAAAACGACATCAGTGTTCATGACACAACCCTCATCTCTATTCTCATATGGACGAAAGATGTGTTTTTCCAATGTTTCAGGCATCTGTGTACATTGTAAAGTCCACCAACAATGGAACAACGCAGTATAAAGGATATGCAATAGATATTTTAGATACCATCGCCGCTGTTCTTAATTTTAGGTAAGACACTTTAAGTTATTTTTTGCTTCACCTGACCACCATCAATAGTTTTATTGTAGTTCTCTTCATGTCACTTTTATTGAATGGGAGATTGTAGTTTGACAGTAACAATTTACTGTATGAAAATTTCTTCTCCTCTAAGTTACAGTATGACTGAACCACAGGATCAGTCTTGGGGACTTCCTGTCAACGGAACCTATAATGGAATTGTGAGGCAGCTGAACAGAACGGTAGATTGACTTAAGACCTTTTGCTTTTCATGTATTGCATGACTTACCCTGAAACTAAAATAAATACGATCCAAATATACTTTTTATGCCAAAATAAGACTAGTTTACCGTAACCCAGAATAATTATATTGTATTGCAGGAAGTTGACCTTGCTGCTTGTGGCCTTGCAATAAATGAAGGCCGATCTCATTACATGGAATACATTTACCCGCCGATCCGGAATGAGTACATTGACGTGGTGTACAAGAGGTATGATAAACAACGTACTACTTCCCTGTTCCTTCTGGCGCTACCACTCAGGCCTATGGTGTGCCTCATTCTTCTCCTGGTGACAGGATTATGTCCACTGTTGTTGGCTGTGTTCGAAAGTGTGGATTTCGGCTGGAACGAAACAGCTGCAGGCTCTGGCGATGTGGGCGTTACTTATGTGAAGAAAGTGAAACATAATCTGCTTAGTGCTTGCTGGGAGGTCACCGGATCTCTGTTCAAGCAGGGTACGTACAAAATGAAAAAATGAAGTGCATCACAAAGAAAGGTTTCTCAATAATATTTTATGCCCATCAACCTCTTTTGTATACATGTACAGTGGTCACATAAAAGAAAAAAATGGATGACATGTATCACAAAGCAGATGTGCAGATGCGAAATATTTATGTTTTCAAGATTTGATGAATATGCAGTTAAACAAAATGTACCTAAAAAAAGTATGTGTATCCTAGGCTATAAAATCCCCAATATAAGATTAAAGTTTCAGGTTAAAATTGTGTCTGTACATTCTACAGAGGTGGTGGTTTAGTCATGATGGGTATAGTACAAGTCATGACTACAATTTGTTGTGCCAACATTTCAGTAATGATTAGGACTAAACAGAGGTTTAAACATGAGGATGGAAATATGTTCAATATATTGGGTCAATTGAAAGTGTTACAGTGAGCATATTTCTCGGAGATACCTACTTACTTTTGTACTTGCAGGTTTTAGTAAATATCCTAGAACTCTACCCGGGAAGGTGTTGGTGACGTCATGGTGGATGTTGCTGATGGTGATGACGACAGTCTACTGTGCCAACCTGGTCGCCGCTTTGTCTGCAGAGACTGATATTAAACCTTTCTCTAACCTAGAGGGGCTACTAGACAGTGACTATTCTGTTGGTACGAGAACTGGTGATATGCACAGTCATACACTAAAGGTATGGATGAGCTAACTACATGTTCCAAATCAGTTGTGTATGGTACAGTAAGGTACAAGATTGCATTGTGATGAGCTACATATTTATTATAGAAAAGATGTCACAAAGCTAACCAGTTATCAATACATTATGTTGCACATATTATTTCATATATTAAAAAATGAAGCTCTTGTAATACACACAACGACTGTCCCCTGATCAGTATTGAAATAAGTTACTTGTAATCTATACACATGCACAAAAGTTAAGCGCCACCCACCGTATTTGTGAGCTGTTACTTTTGGTACTTAATGATGATTATTATAACGAGATGTACGATTGTTATAAGCCGTATATGTAAACCTCATGTGATGCAAAGGTTGTCCTAAACCAAATTTATCTTGTGTTCCAAAAGAATATGAGCAGAAAGGAATTTTACCAAAGACCAGAAATTGAAGGATTAGAAATCATTGAAAAACTGTTTTTGTCATGTAACTGTCATGATATCAGCAGACCATATCAGGTGTCACATAGACACCCTAGGGAGTGCAGAGTCTATTGCAAGACAGAAACGTCAGTAACGCGTGTATGATCCACGGACATTGACCACAGCTTCAACCCTACGCCTCATACTCATTACAAGTCGTTGAATGCTTCTCTGAGGCAGACGGATCAACTGTTCATGAAGTGCGGCTTCAAGTCCAGGGAGATTTTGAACTGGGGGATCACGATGTCTGATTTTCCGGCCAAGAATGTCCCAGAGATGCTCAATCGGATTAAGATCCGGACGACAGGCCGGCCAAGGAAGAGTGGCAATAGCTTCTTGACGCAAATAAGCCAAAATTGCCCGAGGTCTGTGTGGTCTAGCATTGTCGTCCATGTAAACAGGTCTTGTCTGAAGAGGATGGTTGTCAAAATGAGGGACTGCCACTGGTCGAAGAACGGCATCTTGGTATTGTTGGCCATTCAGGTTTCCACGAATTGTCACCAGCGGAAATTTGCAGCTGAAGGAAATACAACCCCATATCATGACAGACCCCCGCCACATGCTAAGGTCTTCTGGATGTTCCTTGGTGCAAAACGAGTGTTACGTTGCCCCCAAACACGTATTCAACCATCAACAGTTCGTAGCAGCATTCTACATTCGTCAGTGGATCCTTCTCCAGTTGGCTAAGTTCCATCGACTACGGGCACGACACCATATCAGACGAACCCGCATGTGCCTCTCAGTCAGCTGAGGACGTTTTACTGTTCTTCTGGCGTTATAACCAGCCGCTCTGAGGCGACGCCTTACGGTCATCGTCGAGAGTCTCTGATGGGTAATCCACTGTAGTCTTAAATCTGTTGAAGTGGCAAATGGATTTCGTTTGACTATCCTGAAAAGACGTCTATCCTCTCTGTTAGAGGCCTTTCTTGGCCTACCAGACCTATGCCTGTCATTGACACCATTGGTTTGACCATGTTTGACAATCAAACGAGTGATAACACTTGATGACGACCCATTTGTCTTGCAATGGCCCTGCATGACATGCCAGCATGTTTGGCTGATTTTCAACCTCTATTGGAAGGGGAATCTCACACAGGAGCAAAATGCAACCACGTGTCTGAAACTTGAATTTCACTATTTATATGGTAGGGGAACAGCAGCAACACGTAAAGCACGCTTTTATTGTGGTATCTGGACAAATTTGGGTTCATGAAACTATGGAAGCCTAATTCAGTCATACATCATCATATTTCGTATTTCTGATTTCCACACGCAAAATCAAGAGACTATGAATATGGTGGCGCTTAACTTTTGTGCATGTGTATATTTCACATTAAGGACAGGACCAGCATATTGTGATTCCCTACTTCTATGACATGAATGATGTGACTTGAATAACGCAGCTGAGCATCTGCCAGCAATGCGAGAGACTTATGTAGTTGAAGTGTTTTGGATTAGCCTTGTCGTTAAAGAATTGTGTTCAATGTATGGATGTATTAGTTTCTAATGAAGTTTTACACTGTCAGTCAAGTCTTCCATCAAGTGTCAATGGAAGGATTTGGGCCAAGATAGCTGCCAACGACCCTGTGTTTCTTGCCTCCAATGTTGAGAGTCATTTCAAAAGAGTGAGAAGAGAGAAGTATGCCCTTGTGGAGCATGCCTCAATTACAAACCGCCTAATGTCTGAAGACTGCCAATTGGAGCTTCTAGGAGAAAGTGTACTGTGGTTACACATGGCATTTGGATTGCCTCAAAGGTCCCCCCTGAAAGCCGACTTCGAGAACGTGTAAGTTGTGATAAAATCTTCAGTCAATTTATCAAGTTTCAATAATTAAAACTGTAATGAAATACATAAAACGGAAACATTGCAACTATTAACTGGTAATTGAAGAATCCCAAGTTAATTCCTTGATGGCATATAATAAATGTCACAAAAACAGATAACTAGTGGAATCGTATTATTGTGTATTTTGTGTGTAAATTCTACGGATAACATTTAACACAACATAAAATCAGCGCAGTATGTGAATGTTTGCGAGTCTGTGTGCAAGCAGCAGAACTCAAGCTTTTTCTTGTCTCCTTGGCAGAATGTCGCATCTCACCGCGAGTGGCATACTAGACGTAATTTGGGCGAAATGGACTGTCAAGAGAAACCTGACACATTGTCCACAAAAACGAATCTTGAAGTCAATCACAGTGAACCAGATTGGAGGTGGTTTCATCGTCGTGTGTGCTGGGACCGTACTCAGTATCATTGTGTTGTGTCTGGAGAAACTGATACATTTAAGGCAAAACTGATTTACTTGTGAATCAGTATCATCATACGTGTACTACAGAAAAGATTAGTATCATTATGAAAGTAGCAAACTTTAGACAAAAGTGATGTTCCTGATGCATTAAAATAACAGATGAGAATAAGAGCAGAAAAAGAATATTTTAATAAATACTTTGGAGTCTTTGGAGTTGTGAGTTGAGCTGACTTGTGTTTGTTTCAATATTACATGTTGCATCATCATCGTCGTCATTTTCATTGTCATAGTCATTGTCATCGTCTTGGTCATCGTCGCAATTATCATCATCATGATCATGATTTACTACGTAACTGTAATGTCACTGTCTGTGATAGCGTTACACAAAGAAATATTGTATACATCAACTGTTGTGGCAACACAAAGAAATATTGGTACGTCAACTGTTGTGGAAACAGAAAGAAATATTTTATGTCAACTGGTGTGGAGACACAAAGAGATATTGTTTACATCAACTGTTGTGTCAACACAAAAACATATTGTTTACAACAACTGTTTTTGGCAATACAAAGAAATATTGTTTACATCAACTGTTGTGGCAACACAAAGACATATTGTTTACATCAACTGTTGTGGTAATACAAATAAATATTGTTTACATTAACTGGTCTGGCAACACAAATAAATATTGTTTACAACAACTGTTGTGGCAATACAAAGAAATATTGTTTACATCAACTGTTGTGGCAACTCAAAGACATATTGTTCACATCAACTGTTGTGGCAATACAAACAAATATTGTTTACATCAACTGTTGTGGCAACACAAAAACATATTGTTTACATCAACTGGTGTGGCGACACTAAGACATATTGTTTACATCAACTGTTGTAGCAACACAAAGATATATTTTTAACATCAACTGTTGTGGCAACACAAAGAAATATTGTTTCCATCAACTGTTGTGGCAATCCAAAGAAATATTGTTTACCTCAACTGTTGTGGCAACGCAAAGACATATTGTTTACATCAACTGTTGTGGCAACACAAAGAAATATTGTTTACATCAACTGTTTTGGCAATACAAAGACATATTGTTTACATCAACTGTTGTGGCAATACAAACGCATGTTGTTTACATCAACTGTTGTGGGAACACACAAAAATGTGTTTACTTAAACTGTTTTGGCAACATAAAGAAATATTGGTTACATGAACTGTTGTGGTAATACGAATAAATATTGTTTACATCAACTGTTGTGTCAACACAAAGAAATATTGTTTACAACAACTGTTGTGGCAATACAAAGAAATATTGTTTACATCAACTGTTGTGGCAAAGAAAGAAATATTATTTACATCAACTGTTGTGGCAACACAAAAACATATTGTTTACATCAACTGTTGTGGCAACGCAAAAAAATGTGTTTACGTAAACTGTTGGGACAACATAAAGAAATATTGGTTACTTCAACTGTTGTGGCGACACAAAGAAATATTGTTAATATCAACTGTTGTGGCAACAGAAAAAAACTTTTAATCAGGACCTTGAAATGTGAAAGCCTGTTAAGTATAATGAAGAAAAATGTATCAGGTTATAATCAAGTTGACAGATCCTTTTTTTGTTGCACAATCAGTTGTTAACTGCAGCCTGCACAGGTACAGTGGGCAATAAAACGAAATTGCAAACTGAACAGAGTTAAGTAACTATCACATGTATAAAGACAATATTAACCGTAAAACATGAAAATAACCATGAACACAAAAGTTATTAGTTGGTGCATGTCTTGTGAGTTCACAATGTTCCATAAAGACAGTGAGTGATAGGGACGTTTGGCCTCTGAGAAATACCTGTATGACAATGGTTGAAGGATAGTTCTTGAGAAATTGCATAGTGTTAACAAATGATAATTGTTATGATTATTTATAATACATTATGAAATATACTTAGACATACATATTCTAACCGATCTGTCCTACCCGGTGAATCTGATGAATATTTCCTTGTGTTGTCTTGGCATCTAGATGTGACGAATCCGTTCTGTCAGGCAAGTATGTGGCATGTGTGTTGTGATAGGTTTTGTTGCTCTGGCCGTCTGATCTGGTTGGATATGATAATACCATCAATATTATCAACAGTCGCCCCTTTATTGAATTTTGAACATCAGCCATGTTGTACTTGCCCAAATTGCCCAATAATGGCAGCTTGGAACTCTCACTTAGAGTGATCCTACTCTTGTTAATAATTAACAGCAGCTGAAATGATAAACCAAGCGCACTGTATACTTCAAATAATCATTATTGTATGTTAGAATGTAATTTTATATGTCTTTAATTATTTCTTATACATAACTTTGTTCCCAATTCCCAAACTGAAACAACATGTTAATCCAGAAATCTTTACGGTAAAAAACGTTGTGTGAAACCACCAAACAACCAACAAGTTGTTCAACAAAATTCACTAAGTTTACCAAAGAATACAAATTACCGCACAGCAATTACTGAGGTAGTAGTCAACAGAGTGGTAGTACGATATTCAATGGCAATAAATACTATGATGGCTAGTGGTGTCAGTGATAATGATATATATTCAGCCAACGTCGATAGTAGTCAAGCTTCGGAGATGGGCTAGCTATAAGCAGAGAATCAGGGATGATGAGCGATCCTCACATGAAAGCAGGTTCAGAAGCGATTAAATGCGCGCGAGATGAAATGTGTGAGAGACGAAATGTGTGAGAAATATGTAAACCCACTCTTGTCCAACTATAAAAACAACAGCCTAACAAGCTACTGGATGTTTCTATACCATGCCAACACCGGTCTAGCAGCACTAGAACACTTCAGAATGTTTCTCTTACATACTATCACCGCCCGCGGCCGACGAAGAGAAAGTGTACACACCGAACGAGCATCTAAATATAGTAACTTTCTGATGATTGGTCACTGACCAAACACAATGCAACGAGCGTCTACCGAATCTCAAAAGAAACTGTGCAAAACAGCTATAATCACTGTTAAACAATAAAATGCACTGCCATATAACAACTTAGACATATTAATTTGAGCTTCCACGGCAATTAACACTATTTTGATATATGTAGAAAACGCTGATTTTAGCAGCAGTGTTTTTACATGTGAACTAGAATACTTACCTACTTATCTGCGTGGTATCTGACAATCTCTGTCTCTGTAATGGAGATGGCTGGTTATTGCTGGTGTGCATAATCATAGCAAACATACTTTCTACTGTGTATATGCACTTGCTGCTCGAAACATGGACTGGTCTGCATATTGTCAACATGTCCAAAACAAATGGTACCACAGACTTCATTTCCTGAACAGTCTGGGAATATATGTCTTCAGTCATAAGGCTGGAAGGTTTGCCCATGGTTCTCAGAACAGGTGGACCTGGTGCTCTTGTTAACGAGTTTATCACCCATCATTTCCACAGTAAGTAAATTCCTCTTGACTAGTACACATTTCGCCACAACATCTGCTGCATCAACTTGGTGCATTTGGTAAAGCAATATACTTTTGATGCACTATTACCTACAGTTAGTTCCAATGAAGAGAGTCCTTAAGTAGATATTGCTTCTCTTGAACTGTTTAAGATCTTGAACTGGTGCAATCTGGGAATGGCTATGTTAAGTTGTTTCATGCTTTACAGGGATGTTTCCACTTTGGCTTTCTGATATTTTGCTGAATTATTTTGAATAACTGTGACATTGAACCCTGTGTTTTGCTCTGATTTCTGCTTTTTTACCTTTTAATATCTGCGGTGATGGTGAAGCAAGAATTTCTCTCCTCTGTCTTGTCAGCGTTTGGCCTTAGAGCACTCCATTCATGTTTTGTAGGCAATTCTCTTTAAGGGTATCATTTGTTTATAAGTTTTTCACATAACTTTATAAATTTTTAAGGATTCAGGTGAAATATAGCTGAAATTTCAATGTTTAATACATCCAACTAAATTATAAATAACTTGTGAGCTTGATCTCTTCCTATGATCCTCAAATGTCCTGGTGTGTCTTTATGATAAAGACAGCACAGACTTGTTCTACGAGGGCTGGTAGAAAAGTTCTAAGCCTGACTAACTTTCAACTAAGGTCAATAGGAAATGTTAAATAGTCAATATAGTACATTGTTTGAGTAGTTCATTGAAAATGTATTTGGTCTGTTGAGGCCGTTCATATATTAGTGACAGCCATTTGAACATGATTGGGGTTCAAATGGACAGAGAAATGGAAAAGAACTAGTACTGAGCAGTCATAATTTTTTTACTTCAGACAAAAGCACTCCCAAAGAAATTCATGACCGCATGTCCCAAGTGTATGGGGATAAGTGCCCTAGCTATTCCACTGTTAAACGTTGGACAGCTATGTTTCAGGCTTGTAAGACAAGCCTTGATGATGCCCCTAAGTTTGGACGGCCCTAAACTTCGATCCATAAAGATTCAATCAAGGAGATAGGAAAAACGTATTATTGTTGAACTTGAGGAAGACACAGGTCTAAGCCATGGATCCATTGAAACTATTTGTCTTGAACATTTACAGATGAAATAAGATATCTGCTCATTGGGTGTCATAGTTTCTAAATTCTGATCTTAAGGAAACAAGAACTGACATTGCCAGAGAAAATTCAGAGCTACTTGAGGAGGATTTCGTCAACAAACAAAAAATCAATAACGGGTGATGAAACACGGGTCTACCACTATGATCCTGAGTCAAAACGTCAATCCATGGAATGACACCATTCCACTTCTCCGGCACCATAGAAATTCAAGTCTTCAAGATCAGTAAAGAAATTTATGGCCATTGTATTCTTGGGTGCAAAGGGTGTGATCCTTGTTGATTATTTAGAAAGTTAAATGACGATTACCGATGCCTACGATGCTGATTTGCTTTATCGCCTGAGAGATTCTATCAGAGAGAAGTGGCGGGGAATGGTGACTGCATGAGTTCTACTACTTCATGACAATGACTCTTCTCACACCTCTCAACATGCAAAGGTTGCTGTGCGACAATGTGGGTACCGAAGAGCTGCCACACCCTCCATACACGCCAGACCTCGCCAGACATACGAGAAGAATGTGTTTGTGGTGCAGGATGCGCTCAGCAACACCTGTCATAACTTTTTTATTTTAATTCCTACACTCATGCTGATTTTGTTTTTA